CATCCTTCCCTCCCTCCCTCCCTATTTTCTTTCCTCATTTTTTTTTCTTTTGCTGAACTCTGGAGAGCTGTCTGTCTTACCGCCCAAGCACCTGGGTCTGTAGACACACACTACTGAACGTGAGCCTTTCAGTTTGAGTGCTAATGTAACATACATCTTTCCTTCCTTCCTTCCTTCCTTCCTTCCTTCCTTCCTTCCTTCCTTCCTTCCTTCCTTCCTTCCTTCCAATTAAAATGTTTTTACTAAATAAGGAATGTGACTTGAATTTCTATGGATACGATTTAGTAGTTCAGTAAAAATAGGCTGCCTTATTTTCAGTTCTTCAGATAATTTTGAGTCAATTTAAATGATCCAATATATTCATGTGGTTATACTGTGTTATCTCCCAGCTGGGAGTCTATGTTGGATTTCTGTGCATCATAGATTTTGCACAGTTTTTCAGAGAAGGCCTATCTGCAGTTTCTTGGTTTTCTCACAAAAACTAATTTTTTCCTGACATTCAGGTATGTTGTTGCTCCTTTATTTTTGTGTGAAATTGTGCTCCTCTTTAGAATTTAAGAAAAAGGGACAAATACAGTTCACAAAGAAAATTTTATGAGCATGCATTGGCAAATGAGCCAAGCCTGATAACCCATTGGGTGATATCTGAGTTTTAAAATGCCTGACTGATGAAGGCCTCTTTCTTTATCAAAATTACTATTTTGCCAGACTTTGTAGCATGGTAGAAGCAGTAGATCTCTGTGAATACAGGGTCAAACTGTTCTTCATAGTACGTTCCAGGCCAGCCAAGACTACATAGTGAGACCACGTTGAGAAGGGGGGTGGGTGCCGTGCTGGAGACATGATTCAGCAGTCTAGAGCACTGACTGCTCTTCCAGAGGATCTGGGTACAATTCCCAGCTCCCACATGGCAGCTCACAACCATCTGTAACTGCAATTCCAGGGGATCTGATGCCTCTTATGACTTCTTCCAGCTCCTTCATGCATTTGGTGAAGTGCACTCAAGCATGCATATAAAATAAAGTAGAATGTTAAAGTGACCCTTTTAGGCCAGGAGTATAGCTCTTAATGACATTATGTTCAGCCATGGACTTGGCCTTGAGTTTGCTCCCAAGCATCAGCACCCCCCCAAAAAAAACATATTACTGTTATATAAGGAATTTTCTTTTTAGTATCTTTATTTTCCATCATTGGCTTAATTCTGAATAGAAGTAAGTAAGGTGTACTTGATGTTTAGGCTTCTTATTTCTATAAAAAGATTTCCTTTGGGACTGGATAAATGGCTTAGGGATTAAGAGTGTACCCTTGGACAGCTCATGGCTGCTTTGGTTTGGTTTGGGTTTTGGTTTTTCAAGACAACATTTCTCTGTGTAGCATTCCTGGCTGCTTAGACCAGCCTGGCTTCAAACTCAGAGATCTACCTGTCTCTGCCTCCTGAGTGCTAGAATTAAAGGTGTACATGCACCACCATTACCTGGCCAAGAATTTTTTATTTCCTTTTAATGGTAGTTAATGTTGGTGTGTGATTTTTTTGGGGGGGCAGGATTTTTCATTTAATAATGCTTTATTTTAAAAATACATATAAAAAGAAAATAGTATCTGAGCACTGGTAGCATACTTGTTTAATGATGGTTAACATCATGAGTGAGACCTAAGACTTAAATACTAAAACAGAAAGGGGTTATTTTGGCATTTAGTCTCATAAACCTGTTGATATATACATTACTCTAATTTTATAATAAGGACAGCTGAGGCTGTGAGATAGAAGCTCAGTTGCCTGGTGATTGCTGGATTGACCTAGGTTCCTGACTGAAGTTTTACACTTGCATCTTTCTGAAAGACAGGAACAGCTGTGTTGAGAACAGAGTCTGACAGTCACAGATGAACTAGGGCAAGGTGCTGACAGTGGAGAGGGCTATTCTGGGTTCTTAGGAAGGGGAGGGTCCGGCAGAGACTTTGAAGGGATTTCTTGAACCTCAAGTGGGAAAGAGAGTCTTGGAGTCAGGTAAGGTAAGGAAAATAGGAGTCTTAACCCCCCATCTGGAGCCAGGGAGATGACTCAGCAGATAAGGGGCTGCTTGCTGCACAGCCTCATGACACAAAGTCAGTCCGTGGGACCCTGTAGGGGAAGGGGAGAGCCAAGTCCTGCCAAGGCCTATATACAACAAAGGCATAATAAATAAATACTTAAATAAATGATTGGTTTTTTTTAATGCCATGCTTTTCCATTTCTATCAGAGTGTTGCCATCTGTAAGGTAGTTCTGTATGTACTAGGTTTGGGTGGTTTGTACACTGTCTCTCGGGTGTGGCTAGACCTGTGAAGTTCTGATTTCTACCCTGAGACTATAGGCTTGACTGAAGGTTTTACCTAGAAGTAAACTTGCAATTTAGATTTGTCTCCTTGACAACATTTTGATTTGTGTCTCTCTGTCTTTATACCATGGTAGGACTTTTGAGGTAAACTGGTGGGCTTAGTTCAGTTTCTTCATCTTCAAGAATAAATAGAGCCAACACTGGTGGCCCACTCCTTTAATCTCAGCACAGAAGAGGCAGAGGCAAATGGATCTCTAGTGCTAGGCTAGCCAGGGCTGCACAATGGTACTTTGTTTCAAAACCTAACAAAAGAAAGAGGAGGATGAAGAAAACCTAATCTTTGTCTGATTTAGTCTGGAGGCTCCAGGCTTTGAGAAAATGATCATTGTTTTGAACAATATCCTGTATATAGTTCAACAAATGTCTGCTAAAAGCGATGAAATGTTTTTAAGAAATGACTGTGTATAGAAGAACTTAATGAGGTGTATATGGGAAAGGGTAGCAGAAGTGGAAAAAACATTGCATTCTAAATTGCATTCTTTTTAGATTTGGCAAGAGAGCCTATTAAGTGTTTAGAAAGAAAAAAAAGATTTATCCACAAGAAAAATGGCGTAATAGTCATAGTGGATCCTTTCTGCCCTCTTCCTCTCAAAAGGAGAAAATTGGAATTTATGTTTGTTTAAATAGTTGATTATCAAGCTGGGCGTTGGTGGCACATGCCTTTAGTCCCAGCACTCGGGAGGCAGAGGCAGGCGGATCTATGTGAGTTTGAGGCCAGCCTGATCTACAGAGTGAGTTCCAGGACAGTCTCTAAAACCTACAGAGAAACCCTGTCTCAAAAAAAACAAAACAAATAAGTAAATAGTTAATTCTCACTGTGCCTGGCATGTAATCTTAACTATTTGGAAGACTGCAGCAGGAGTTCAAGGCTTGCTTGGGCAACAGACTAAGGTGAGTCCAGGCAGGTTACTGGAACCTCTAGAAGACAGTTGGAATATGTATATGGCTCAGTGATATAGCACCTGTTTGTTTGGGGTTTTTTGTGAGGCCCTAAATCCAAGCTAAGAAGAAGTTTAGTACCAAAGAGAAAAAATTGATGAGTTTATAAAAATCTTAATATATGTGGAACATACACCAGTAATAACTTTGTTAGCTGTTGATTATTTGAAGTTCTCTAAAGATAAATGAGTACAGATTCACTACTTTTAGACAATACAGTCTTCCCTGAAGTTTTGTGATCACAGTGGAAATGATTACAGAAAAACAGAAGGATGGTTTCATTTATCTAGATGTGATTACTATGTCTGTCTGTGTGTTTACACACGTGTGTTTTTAGGCTCTTTGCTTCTCCCCAGCCCTTGTAGAGTGTATGGTTGTGTCCCTGATTGTTCAGTATAATCGTTTGTAGATTCACTGAGAGCTTATGTAGTAATGCTTGCCTTATTTTTTTTTCTCTTCCACTCTTGTTTATTTTTTACTTTTTTTTTCTTTTTGTGATGTGACATTTTCAGCTGATGTTTTGAAAGCAAATCCTTCTAATTTGGGAGCCCAGATCACAAGAGTGAGTTTTTCTATAGTGTCTTTAGCTGTATATCTTTTTTGTGTGTATGTCTTTCTTCCCTTCCCCCTCCCAATTCTGAAAGATTTGAAATACATTTCATAAATGTTAGGTAAGAAAATTCCTGTCTGTTGAACACCATGCCTTTCTAAAGCAATGTCCACTTTATATTGGGTCAGTTCCCTTTTCCTAAGCTGTTGGAAAAGCATAGGCTAATGGGTAGGCCTTGCTTCACTTTTTATATTATTTTGTTGCACTGTCTTCATTGCAGATGGGTATGTCTGGACTCTGTCACCAGCCTGTCTCATGACACTTCTCTCTTAGTTTTTGTTTCTTTTGTTTTGAGAAAAATTACACAGTGGCATCTGGAAATAAAAAACCCATTCTGTTACTTGAAGTTTAAGTAACAAAATCTTCTTCTTTCCCGTATTCTCCTTCTTCATCCCTGGTGTTCCTCTCAGGGCTATGAAGGAATGAAAAGCTACATAACTGTTTATTTCAGCAGACTGACTGGGTGAAAGTGGTCAGGCTGAGTCTGAGAATGCTAGGGTTGGAAACCTCCCTTGGCTTTAATAGTTACAGGAAACCTGTGTTAGTGCTAAAACCAAACAAAACCCACACCTTTTATTTTATGGTGGGAGGAAAAAGTATTTCTGTTTGTTCTGATTTTGATAAACTCCCCACCCCCATGTAAGCTGTACATTGCTTTTTTAGATCTTATACCTTGGGCAATTTTCTCTACCAGCCTAACCCCTTTCTGTTCACTTCGGCCTGTGTTGCTACAATGTATCTCACATTTGTTTGTCTGATTCTGCATCCCGGAAGAGCAGGTGATTGGTCTCTCTTCTTTCTTCCCGATACTTTAAAATTGTGCCTGTTGCTTCTGAAATCATTTTGTTTTGTACAATAAGACAAATGACATGCTGTCCTAATTACAAATGCCCGTATCCAAGTGTCATACTCAAAATAATTAGTCATTGTGTCTCTGGGTACCATATGAATATAATAGTGTATTCCACGCTAGTATTATAACATTGGTTGAGGGTAAATATTTTACAGGTGTTGCCTTCACATCTGTGTGTCACTTAAAATCACTCACCATCAGTTTCTTTCTTTCTGTTAATTCAGAGATTAAAAGATCTCAAGCAGAGAGAGTTTGCCAGAAATGTCTCTTCAAGATCCCGCAAAGATGAAAAGAAGCAAGAAAAAGCCCTTCGGAGGCTCCATGAGTTGGCAGAACAAAGAAAACAAGCTGAATGGTAAGGAAATTTTACACCGAGTGTTTTGTGGATAAGTAGACTCCTTAAGATTTAAATTTATAGATTTAAAATTACAATTCAACCACTGGATGTGGTAGCTCATGAGAGGGGGCCAGGCAGCAGTAGTGTCACCTTTAATCCCAGCACACAGGAGACAGAGGCAGGTGGATCTCTGAGTTCAAGGACAGCCAGGACTACAGAAAAACCCTGTCTCCAAAAAAAGAAAGAAAAGAAAAAAATGGGAAGAGGGGACACAGCATTGGCTTATGTGTCCTCTCTTATCTTCAAAAGTATGACACCCCTGGCATGTGAAGTATGTATGTATCCAAGTGTTGGGGTCACTCCCCAGAGGAGAGAACATTTACTTTTTGCCATCCCACAGCTCCTACACACACCCTTGATTTGTTGTTATCCTGTGCTTCTGATTTCTACCCTGTGTTCAGTTTGTTTGCTTTTCTGTTCTAAAAAGGAGCCAAAAATAAGTAGGAATTGGAGAAGAGAAAAAGCAAACTGTGAGTGTGTGTGTGTGAGAGAGAGAGAGAGAGAGAGAGAGGGAGGGAGGGAGGGAGGGAGGGAGGGAGGGAGGGAGGGAGAGAGAGAGAGAGAGAGAGAGAGAGAGAGAGAGAGAGAGAGAGAGGGAGAGGGAGAGGGAGAGGGAGAGAGTGGGAAAGGGAATACAGAGGACAGTTCTTTGGAATCTGTCCATACCCCTTTACATGGATTTCAGAGTTTAAATTCAGGTCACTAGGCTTTCATGGCAAAACTTTACCCACTGAACCATCTCAACAGTCTTCTTTTTCTTCAGAGGCAACTTTTAGCTCTCTTTATAAATTAGCAGTTAAAAGATGACCAAGTAGGGATGATCATCATGTAGGCTATACTTTGGCACTTGCCCCAAGAAGCAGCAGCATCTTCTGTTTGTTGGTGTGAGACTTCAACACAATACAATGTCTTAGTCTCCGTGTCTGATTGACTTCTATCTTTGAACAGTAGCAGCATGTACAGCAAAATCTAGATACCCTGGTATGTGGGGTTTTTGACAGCACAAGGTGAGATCTAATAGCTAGTGAATATATAATTGTCTTTATTTATTGAGTTCATAATTCAGGAAATGTCCATATAGCCCATACACTGAAAATTTTTGGTAAGTTATGTAGTCAACACTGGCTTTTTAAAAGTTCTTTTATAGTCCTGTCGTGGGAGTTAGAAGGTTGCTTGTTATGACTATTGTTCATATATATAATAGTTCCTATGGATTTGTTTTCTGTGCCTTCAGTTACTGTTAGTTGCAATATGAAAGTTCATTTAATCCCAGCACTTGAGAGGCAGAGCCAGGTGGATCTTTGTAAGTTTCTGTTGACTAAACTGGTCTACAGAACGAGTTCTAGGCAGCCAAGGCTACACAGAGAAACCCTGTGTTGAAAACCAAAAATAAATAAATAGTAAATTTTGAGTTGTGTACTAGATGTGCTTTATAGTGCCTGAAACATGAATCCTCCCTGTATTTAGTATGTCCCTGCTCCCTCCCCAGTAAAGGGGAAAAGGCATACGCATTCCCATAGCTTGTACTGTAGTGCATTGCTATAACTTCTCTGTTTCTTGTAGTTAATCTCTCGGTGTGTGAATTTATAAATTAAATTCTATCATAATGTAGTGGGGGGCGCTCAGTACAATCTACAGTGTCATGTGTCTGCTTGTGGTCTACCGATATCTACTCCTGTGACTGAAGAGCACGGATACATCACAAAGCATGAGTTTAGATGTGGTGTCCAGGACGTAGGGAAGACTAGTTAATTTCTAAAACAAATATAACCACAAAGTAATCCAGTAAAGGTTTCCAAGACCATGTTCAGTTCAGAATATATACATTTCTAAGCTGCATATGATAGTATATGTTTGTAATACTAGCCTTCTGGAGGCCAAGGAAGTAGGATTTCCATATGGGTTCAAGGTCAGCCTGGGCTACATAACTCAAAGCAAACAGCAAACCAATATGTACTTTTTTTTTTTTTTTTTTCGAGATAGGGTTTCTCTGTAGCTTTGGAGACTGTCCTGGAACTCACTTTGTAGACCAGGCTGGCCTCGAACTCATAGAGATCCGCCTGCCTCTGCCTCCCGAGTGCTGGGATTAAAGGCGTGCGCCACCAACGCCCGGCTCAATATGTACATTTTTAATAAAATTTGAGCTGAGTATAGTGGTATACACCTTTAATCCTAATGTTCAGGCAGATCTCTGGATTAGGGGCCAGCCTGGTATACATGAGCTCTAGGATAGCCAGTGCTACATAGAGAGACCCTGTCTCAAAAAATAAAAATAAAAATAAACTTGAGACACTTGCCACCAACTCTTCATGACAGGAGATAACCCACTCTCTCAGGATCTAACCCCTACATGCATGATATGGCACAAATAAACACATGTGTGCACACACATGCAGAAGGTACAGAGGAAATTAAAGCTTTTTCCCTTTTTAATTTTTTTTTATGTGCATTGGTGTTTTGCCTGCGTGTATGTTTGTGTGAGAAGTCAGATCTTGGAGTTACAGAGAGTTACAAGCTGCCACATGGGTGCTGGGAATTGAGCCTGGGTCCTTTGGGAAAACAGCCTTGAATTCAGTAGTAATCATCCTACTACATGTGTGCATTGCCGCTTGATAGGATGATACATTAAGAAATAAATGTAAGCCAGGTGGTGGCGCACACCTTTAATCCCAGCACTCGGGAGGCAGAGGCAGGCGGATCTCTGTGAGTTCGAGGCCGGGCTGGACCGACAGCCTCCAAAACAATACAGAGAAACCCTGTCTCGTAAAAAAACAAAAACAAAACAAAACAAATAAAACACCAAAAAAGGGGGAGGTGGGCTAGAAAGGTTGCTCATGGGGGAAGAGCACTAGGCTCTCTTCCATGGGACCTGGATTCAGTTTCCACATGATGTCTCACAATCTTCTGTAACTCTGACCTCCAAAGCAATGCACACATATAGTTCACAGGCAAAATACACACATAAAATAAAAATAAAATAGAAAAAATTATAATTAAAAAAGATTAGTAGCATATTAAAGCTGAAACTGTGAGAAGATATTGGTAAAGAATTGGAGTTGTGGGGGCTGCAGAGATGGCTCAGCAGTTAAGAGCACTGGCTGCTCTTCTAGAGGACCCAGGTTCAATTCCCAGCACCCACATGGCAGTTCACAACTGTCTATAACTCCAGTTCCATGGAATCGAGCACCCTCACACAGATATACATGTAGGCAAAAAACACCAATGTACATAAAATAAAATATTTTAAAATTTTTGAGTTGTGAGATAAGCCTTTTTGTAGGGCAGATAGATTAAGAGATAACAATAGCTAACTGGCCTTAGAAATTTAGCATGCTACTTTCATCGAATGACGCTTTGCCTAGCTCTACTCAAGATTTTCCATTCATCAGCATATTGGTAGTAACCTGCAGCTCTGCATCTTTGTGACCTATTTATGATAAATGGAAGGACAAAGAAGAAAGATATATAACTCTAACTCTATCTTTTATTTTTCTTTCTTTTTGAACCACTGTATAGTGCTCCTGGAAGTGGTCCCATGTTCAGACCAACCACAGTGGCTGTAGATGAAGATGGTGGAGATGAGGATAAAGATGAGTCATCAACAAACAGCGGTGCAAGTGCTGCTTCTTCTTGTGGCCTTGGATCTGAATTCTCCACAGATAAAGGGGGCTCCTTCACTGCAGTACAGATTACCAATACCACTGGATTGGCACAGGCTCCTGGGTTAGCCTCCCAAGGTATCAGCTTTGGCATTAAGAATAATCTGGGACCCCCACTGCAAAAATTGGGAGTGTCATTTTCCTTTGCCAAGAAGGCTCCCGTCAAACTTGAATCAATAGCATCTGTTTTCAAAGACCATGCAGAGGAAGGGACCCCTGAAGATGAAACAAAAGCAGATGAGAAGAGTTCTGACCCGGGGGTACAAAAGGTGGGAGACACTGATGGGAGTGGCAATCTTGATGGAAAGAAGGAAGATGAGGACCCTCCAGATGGAGGGTCCCTTGCCTCAACGCTGTCCAAGTTAAAAAGGATGAAGCGCGAAGAAGGAACCGGAGCTACAGAGCCAGAATATTACCACTACATCCCCCCAGCTCACTGCAAAGTCAAACCTAATTTTCCCTTCTTACTCTTTATGAGAGCCAGTGAACAAATGGAAGGTGACCATGGTACACACTCAAAGAATGCCCCAGACAACAAAAAAAGCAGCTCTCCCAAGCCTAAAGGTTGCACTAAGGCGGCAGCAAGCCAAGGAGCAGAAAAGACGGTTAATGAAGTCTCTGGGCCACAAAAGGAAACCACTGTGGCTGAGCCTTCAGAGCCTGGAAACAAAACTGAGACAAAGAAGGGCTCAGGAGGAGGTGTTGGTGAGCAGAGTGTGGAGAGTCGGGAGCCTTCCGAGAGCCAGATGCGTGAATCCAATCCTAAAGTTTCTCAGGCCACCTCAGCAGCAAAGGCAGGCCAAGGACCCAAACATCCCACTGGTCCTTTCTTTCCAGTTTTGAGCAAGGATGAAAGTACTGCCCTCCAGTGGCCATCAGAACTATTGATTTTCACCAAAGCAGAACCCTCTATTTCCTACAGTTGTAATCCTTTATACTTTGACTTTAAACTTTCAAGAAACAAAGATACCAGAGCTAAAGGAACAGAAAAACCAAAAGATGACGGAGGGTCCTCAAAGGATCAGCTCCAGAGCCTTGATCCTGGAGAGCCGGACAGAAGCAAGGAGGGCGATGAGCCTGCTTCAGAGACTGCCTGTAGCAGCCTGGATAAGCAGGAGCCTGGTGGGAGCCATGGGTCAGAGACCGAAGACACAGGAAGAAGCCATCCTAGCAAGAAAGAACCATCAGGCAAGTCCCACAGACACAAAAAGAAAAAGAAACACAAAAAATCCAATAAGCACAAACGGAAACACAAGGCTGACATAGAAGAGAAAAGTTCTAAGGTAGAGTCTGGCGAGAAATCTAAGAAGCGCAAAAAAAGAAAACGAAAGAAGAACAAGTCATCAGCTCCAGCTGATTCTGAACGAGGACCCAAACCAGAACCCCCTGGGAGCGGTAGCCCTGCACCACCAAGAAGACGACGCCGGGCCCAAGATGATTCCCAACGGAGATCCCTTCCTGCTGAAGAAGGAAATAGTAGCAAGAAGGATGATGGTGGAGGTGGTAGCAGCTCCCAAGATCACAGTGGGAGGAAACAGAAAGGAGAACCTCCGGCGTCATCCTGCCAGCGGAGAGCTGGCACCAAACATAGCAGCCACTCCAGCCACCGGAGCCAACCCAGTAGTGGGGATGAGGATAGTGATGATGCCTCTTCTCACAGGCTGCACCAGCAGTCTCCATCCCAGTACAGTGAGGAGGAAGAGGAAGAAGAAGAGGAGGAGGAGGAGGAAGACTCGGGCAGTGAGCATTCTCGTAGCCGCTCTCGATCAGGCCGTCGCCATTCCTCCCACCGTTCCTCCCGGCGTTCTTACTCAAGCAGCTCTGATGCTTCTTCAGACCAGAGCTGCTATAGTAGACAGCATAGTTACTCTGATGATAGCTACAGTGACTATAGTGACCGATCACGAAGGCACTCAAAGCGCTCTCATGATTCAGATGATTCAGACTATGCCAGCTCCAAACACAGGTCCAAACGACACAAGTACTCATCATCTGATGATGACTATAGCCTCAGTTGCAGCCAGTCCCGAAGCCGATCTCGGAGTCATAGTAGGGAGCGCTCAAGATCCCGGGGCCGAAGCCGCAGCAGCAGCTGTAGTCGCAGTCGAAGCAAGAGGAGAAGTCGCAGTACCACAGCCCACAGCTGGCAGCGAAGCCGGAGCTATAGTCGGGATCGCAGCCGCAGCACCAGGAGCCCATCCCAAAGATCAGGCTCCAGAAAGGGGTCGTGGGGTCACGAGAGCCCGGAGGAGAGACGCTCTGGCCGTCGGGATTTCATTCGCTCAAAGATCTACCGCTCTCAGTCACCTCATTATTTCCGATCAGGTCGGGGAGAAGGTCCTGGAAAGAAAGAAGATGGCAGAGGAGATGACAGTAAAGGAACAAGCCTACCCTCCCAGAATAGCAGTACTGGCACAGGAAGGGGGTCGGAAAGTGACTGCAGTCCTGAAGATAAGAATTCTGTCACTGCCAGACTGCTACTAGAGAAGATTCAGTCCAGGAAAGTGGAGAGGAAACCCAATGTGTGCGAGGAGGTGCTGGCCACCCCTAATAAGACTGGCCTCAAGTACAAGAATCCCCCACAAGGTTACTTCGGGCCCAAGCTCCCCCCTTCTCTTGGTAGTAAGCCTGTCTTTCCACTGATAGGGAAGCTTCCAACTACCCGGAAGCCCAATAAGAAATGTGAAGAGTCTGGCTTGGAAAGGGGTGAAGAGCAGGAACAGTCAGAGCCAGAAGAAGGGTCCCCAGGGAGTAATGATGCTCCATTTGGGCATCAGTTCCCAGAGGAAACAGCTGGTCCCTTATCAGACCCTCCCCCAGAAGAGCCAAAGTCTGAAGAAGCGACTGCTGATCATTCTGTGGCTCCACTAGGCACCCCAGCACACACTGACTGCTATCCTGGGGATCCAGCCGTCTCCCATAACTACCTCCCTGACCCCAGTGATGGGGATACCCTGGAGTCTCTGGATAGTGGCAGTCAACCAGGCCCTGTGGAATCCAGCTTGCTGCCTATAGCCCCAGACCTTGAGCACTTCCCCAGTTATGCTCCTCCCAGTGGAGAGCCTAGTGTTGAGTCAGCAGATGGGACAGAGGATGCTTCCTTGGCTCCCCTCGAGAGCCAGCCCATCACCTTCACCCCCGAGGAGATGGAGAAGTACAGCAAGCTCCAGCAGGCTGCACAGCAGCATATCCAGCAGCAGCTTCTGGCCAAACAAGTAAAGGCCTTTCCAACCTCAGCAGCCCTGGCCCCAGCCACACCAGCCCTACAGCCCATCCACATTCAGCAGCCAGCCACCGCCTCTGCCACCTCCATCACAACGGTTCAGCATGCCATCCTACAGCATCATGCTGCCGCTGCTGCCGCTGCCATCGGCATTCACCCTCATCCTCACCCCCAGCCACTTGCCCAAGTACATCATATTCCCCAGCCCCATCTGACCCCTATTTCCTTGTCCCATCTCACGCACTCAATCATCCCTGGCCACCCGGCCACCTTTCTTGCTAGCCACCCTATCCATATAATTCCTGCTTCAGCCATCCATCCCGGACCCTTCACTTTCCATCCTGTCCCTCACGCTGCCCTCTACCCTACCCTGCTTGCACCACGGCCTGCTGCAGCGGCTGCCACGGCCCTCCATCTTCACCCTCTTCTTCACCCCATCTTCTCAGGTCAGGACCTGCAGCACCCTCCCAGCCATGGTACTTGAGTTGGGAGTTGTAAGCTTAAGTTGGGCCAGGGAAGGTGACCTATTCTTTATTCTTCCCTTGGGGGTGTTGAGCCATTTATACCAGCGAGTAAAAAGCTGGAATGGGCAGTGTCTTGACAGCCAAAGAAATGAGTTTTGGCTTGCAGGGATGGATTTAAATTTGAGGTTTGCTTTGGGTTTACTATCAGGGATATCTTCCCCCTTTCTATTAGTTCCTCCTGTGTTTCTAAGCTAGGGAACACCAGTAAGTGCTACCCACACTCCTCTGCAGCAGACTGTCAAGTATTGATACTCCTCCCCTACTTTCTAATCCTCTGCTCTTCCCCCTCTGTAAGTTTAAAATGTTTTCCTCCTCTAATGGATTGTCACCAAAGCACTTGCCATGGGCCCATCTGGTCTTGCCTTCTCAGTGCCACGAGGAAGGCCTGGCTGACTCTTCAGTGGTGGAAACTCCACCACTTTTGGGCAGTGTCTTTGAACATTGGTGACCTGTTGTCCCAGGTGAGGTGGAAGAGGGAGTCTAACCTAGAACCAAAAGCAACTCAGGCTGCAATTTGATCATTTTCCTTACAAACAGAGCCACGCATGTGGCACTGCTGTCCTCACGCCCTTCATCCCAGAAGATGCATCTCCATATCCCAGAAAAGAAGATCCTATCATGAGTAGAAGCTACGCGGAACACAGAGTCACACGCGCTTCCCAGAGAGGAGCTCATGTCTGGAGGGTATATTTTCTTCTGTTATGATGTTTTCTTCTTAATTTATAGGATTTTTTAATGTAAAATTGCACTGAACTCTAAACATAAATGCTGCTTTTTGTAGCCCATATTAAAAAGGTTCCGTATTTGTAGTATACTGCAATAATATTTTTTACATCCAGCTCTTTAAGTGATCCTTGTTCTGGTGGCTTTCTGTAAATATGTTTGCCCTAGTTGAATTAAGAAACTTTAAAGGTTATAAAGTTAAAAAAAATAAAGTATTTGTTTTCTGCTAGATGCAAAAATGACTAAGCATGTATATTTTATCAAGCTCCTGTATTTTTTGAAGTTATGAACTATAAAAATGTTAAGACTTCTTTCCCCTGGGCCAAGTGTTAAGTAATGTGCAGTAATTGGTTCATCCTGCATGGGATTTTGAGTTAATGAGCAGTGGCAGCTGCAGGCATCAGGAGGACACTCAGTCGCAGTCGTTTCCTGATATGTACAGAGAAACAGTGGACTCCATGGAGGAGGGGAAGATTAGTTCAACAGCTTTGTTCTCTGGAAGCAGTGACACACACTGGTTGTCTGGGAAGAGGGACCCTTTGGTTTCCCTGGGTACCTTGTTCTGGACAGTCTATTTGCCTTCCTAGTATTTAGCCCCCTCTGACAATTTTTTTAATGTGCCTTTTGGGTTGGCTAGAAACTAACATAGAAGTAGACCAGAGGATAATAGAGTTGGACAGTTTTCTCCTCATTTTGTTGGGAGGTGAGCACATCTATAGGTTCTTGGAGGGCTTTGGCTTCACAGTTCTGTGCGTCTGCCCAGCTTGATTCCAGCAGTAGAGGTTCCTTTGTTCTTTTCTCCTGTGACACTGACCAGAAGTGCAACAGTCCCTCTTCCCCTCTTGCCTTCACCCAGGCTCTCAGCCCTAGTAACACTCTGACCCAAAGGTGCTTGTAATGCAGGTCTCATCTCTGTTGTTAGTGCTCATCTCAGTCAGCTGACAAGATAAACCCTACTTGCCTAGGCCAAGGGTCTCTATCCATGCCTTCTCAGATCCCCAGAAGGAAGAGATTTTTGACTTTATATAAGAAGCAAGTACTGGGCAAATGAGGCACTTGGCTGAGCCCCTCCCACCTGCTCAGTCCTCGTCTGATTCGTAAGGATCGCTTTTTGGATAACTAGCCCTGGAAAAATGAAATCATCAATTTGAAGTGAAGGGACTCATTTTCCTTGCTTTCAGCCCATGTAAATATTTAAATAAAACAGTATTAACATTTTGTGCTGCTTCCCATTAGTTGTAGATTGAGCCCTACTCTGGCCACCTCTCTGCCTTTCTGGAGGCAGTTTTCTTTAACTTCCAGAATAGTAGTTTTAAAACTGCAGAGAAAAAAGAAAAGGAAAAACAAAATAACCTATCCTTACTTACAAGCATAACAGATTGTATTTAACTTTATCACACATGATAGAGATATATATGCTGTAAAATGAGGGAAAGGAACTTTCTAATAAACCAATGCTTTGTGGAAACTTAGCAGAGTCCGTTGTGATTGTTGCCACTTCCACTCAGCCTGGGCTAGTTTGGAGGTTGGGTTATAAACAATGTTGGAAGTAATTAAATGATAGATCCTTCTAAACCAGGTGGAGATACTTGGAATTGTTCTTCCGGGAGCTCAGTTTGTCCAAGGATCTGGATGATTTACATACAGGGGAAGACTTGTGTGTGTTCCTCCTGGTCTCTGGGCAGTGGAACTACAAGATTTGTCTGACCTTTGACCTCCAGGTGTGACTGTTACCAAGCTTGAATTACTGTCCTCGACCCCTGACCACCACTATAATGTTGGAGTGCAAAGCTCTACTCAGCCACATAAGGAGGGCAGGGAAAGCTGACTTGGAAGGCATGCACAGTGACAGTTTCACTGTCCCTCAGCCTTTCACGGAGTTGTGTGATGTCTCCTCGGATCTTTTTTTTTTTCTTTTTTTCTTTTTTCTTTTGGTTTTTCGAGACAGGGTTTCTCTGTATTGTTTTGGAGGCTGTCCTGGAACTCGCTTTGTAGACCAGGATGGCCTCGAACTCAAAGAGATCCACCTGCCTCTGCCTCCCGAGTACTGGGATTAAAGGTGTGCGCCACCAACGCCTGGCTCTCCTCGGATCTTTTAATGCCACCATGTGCTCTCTACCACAAAAGAAGCTGAGTGCTCAGAACTGTTTGCCTGACATAGTGAAGATCTGTGTTGTAAGGAAGGATGGTAGGAAATGAAAAGGGGCTGGAGAGCTGGCTCAGTGGTTAAGAGCACCTGTTACAAAGGACCAGGTTCAATTCCTAGCACCCACATGGAGGTTGACCACCCTCTCCGGCTTCACAGACATACCTGTACACAAAATAGTCATACACATAAAAGGTTGCAAAAGCCGGGCAGTGGTGGCGCACACCTTTAATCCCAGCACTCAGGAGGCAGAGGCAGGCGGATCTCTGTGAGTTCGAGACCAGCCTGGACTACCAAGCGAGTTCCAGGACAGCCTCCAAAGCCACAGAGAAACCCTGTCTCGAAAACCCAAAAAAAAAAAAAAAAAATGAAAAGTCCATTTCTGAAAGCAAGGAAGGCAGCAAGCAGGAAAGACAGGGCTGTATAGCCTGTGCTGTGCATGAAGTCAGTTGCTTTGTTCTGATAAGGGCCCAGCTTGAAACATGAAAGGACTCCCTCTTTTACACCCTCGATGACTCATCCAGCCCTTGTCAACCATTTCTATTCTTGTTGCCACAGAAAACTCCACCTCACCCATACCAATTCCTATCTGATTACTGCAGCATTTTCCTGGCTGACTTCCCTGTGACTAGGATCTGATTCCAGCCATGTGTATGTTTATCAGCTTTCAGACCCAAGCGCCATTTGTTTTCTGCTCACTGCTTCCAGTAAAATTCCTTAAAAACAAGCAAAAAACCAACTTCAATGCCAAACCATGATAGATACTTGATGGTTGCTGATTAAATGAAGCCGAAACAGAACTGAGTTCACTGAAGGAGTCTAGGACCTCAGGCTGATGGAATAGGAAAGTGGGGATATTAGCAGTCATCGACCCACTTTCTGCAGGGAGAGAACCCAGTTCTGACACCAAAGGAATGCAGTCCTCTCTGGCTCAAATCTCATCTTCCCTCGGGTTTCTGGTTTTAGTGAATAGCAGTCCACCAGCTAGTCAGGGACCAAACCTTTGGCCACTTCCAGCTACTGACTCTGTACTTAGCTGCTGTTTCTCTCTTTTGGAGAAGCCTTGCTGTGTAGCCTTGGATGGTCTTGGTGGCTTCCTATATGGCCCAGGCTAACCTCAAACTTAATGTATCTTCTGCTTCCTCCTCCAGCTGGATTATATATAGTTTTGTGTCACTATGCCCATTTCTGCTGTCTTATTCTTACCACCATTACCTGGTTCCGGCATGATCACCTTCAACCCAGATGCTGCCCTACCCTGCTGGTCTTTCCACAGAGTCCTTCCTCCTCCAGTCCCCTGTAGCCACCGACAGACAGTGTCATATTCTAAATTGGAGCACAGTTCATCATTGAATCTCTGTCTTAGGGTTTCTACCGCTTCTATGAAACACTATGATCAAAGCAACTCGGAGAGGAAAGAATTTGTTCAGGTTTGACTTCCACATCACAGTTCATCCAGGAAAGTCAGAGCAAGAACCTGGAGGCCTGAGCTGGTGGAGAGTGCTGCTTACTGTCTTGCTCAGCCTGCTTTCTTATAGGACCCAGGACCAGCAGCCCAGGGATGGCACAATGGACTGGGTCCTCCCTCATCAGTAGCTAATTAAGAAAACACCTTACTATTTCCTGACATTTAAAATGATCTTGTGGATGCATTTTCTGTTTGGTTGGTTAGTTGGTTGGTTTGGCCTGTTTGGTTTTTTTAGACAGAATTTATGTAGCCCCAGCTGTCCTGGAATTTGCTTTGTAGACCAGACTGACCTCAAATGCAGAGATCTGTCTCACCAGTGCTGGCATTAAAGGTGTGCACCACCTCCTGGCTTGGAGGCATTTTCTTAATTGAGGTTCCCTCCTCTTAGATGATTTTAGCCTGTGTAAAGCTGACATAAAACTAACCAGCACAATCTCTTTATAGTTGATTTTATTTTGTTTGAAAACTAGTAAGCGTGTGAAGATCAGAGGAATAACGTTCTCTTGCCACCGTGTAAAATCTGAGGATTTTTAAGTCTGAAAGCAGTTGCCTCTGCCTCTATTTGAACGACCTTGCTAAAACTGATGATTTAAGCTCCTATTTCCTGACATTTAAAATCTTTAGATAGCTGGACATGTTGAAACATACGTTTAGCCGGGCAATGGTGGCCCATGCCTTTAATTCCAGCACTCGGGAGGCAGAGGCAGGCGGATTTCTGTGAGTTCCAAACCAGCCTGGTCTGCAAGAGCTAGACCAGGACAGCGCCCAAGCCTCCAAAGCCAGAGAAACTCTGTCTTGAAAAACAAAAGCAAAGCAAAACAAACATACCTTTAATCCCACTACTCAGAAGATAAAGGCAGGCAGATCTCTTGAATTCCAGATCAAACTGGTCTACATATCGAGATGCTGTCTCAAAACCAAAATAAAAATCTTTAGGATTCTCCATGTATGAAGAATCACAACTGCTTATAACTCCAGTGCCAGGGGATCCAATACCCTCTTGCCTCCATGGGCACTTGTATACACACACACACACACACACACACACACACACACACACACACACACACACACACACGAACGAATAGCACATTTAACAACAACAAAAAAAGTCATGGTGGTACACGTTCTTTCTTAATCCCAGAACTTGGGAAGCAGAGACTGGCAGATCTCTTGAGCTGAGATTAACCTGGTCTACCTAGTGAGTTCCAAGATAGGGTTACACAGAGAAATCCTATCTTGAAAAACAGAAACTATTCTAATGCATAAACTAGGGTTACTGATGGCATTCCTGTCCTATCAGCACTCCAGAGATGGAGGCAGGAAGATCAGAAGTTTAAGTCCAATGTGGGCTAAATGATACCCTGATTTAAAAAGAGGCCAAAAAAGGAATGTTGGGGGTAGGGAGTAAGCCTAGTGAGAAGGTTCAATGAGCAATGGAACTTGGCTGCCAAACCTGCTGAATTTAATTCCTGAGACCCACATGGTAGAGGAAAACCAATTTTGAAGAGTAGCCCTGCTACATCCATACCTATACTTCAACACACATGCCCACACACATACACAAAATAGATTTTAAACTGTGATTAAAATTTCTGAAGAAAAAAATAATAAACCAGGGTGGTGATGGCTCACGCCTTTAATCCCAGCACTTGGGAGGCAGAGGCAGTCGGATCTCTGTGAGTTCACAGTCAGCCTGGTCTACAAGAGCGAGTTCCAGGACAACCATAGAGAAACCCTGTCTCAACCCTCCCCAAAGAAAGGACTTCAAAATGAGATAGGGAGGCCAAGATAAGGCAGTGGTTAACAGTGGTTAATAAGGATCTGGGGTACATGGCTCAGTAGTAGAGCTTTTGTCTTACATGTGTGGGGCTACTCCTCGTACTACAAAAAGAGAAAATACAGACTAAAAGGAGGGTGAGGCTATGTTCCTTTATCCCTTTGCTTTGGGGACACAGGCATGCAAGACCAACAGGGCATGGTGTGCTTCAGCTTCTGTCCTCCAAAGAAATGGACCTTTCTTCTCAGAATTTGACCCATTTCACATTGTCACTGTTTGCTTCTTCCATCCTTTAGGAAGACTTAAGCTCATCTTTTCCTCAACCCCACATGCTGGGCTTTTGGCTAGGCCCTGGGACAGTAGGAAGGATCCTTGCTCTCAGAGGATTTGGATACTCAATCCAGTAATAAGTGTCATCAAGGTCATCAGATATTGTACCCATGTGTGTATGTCAAGGTCCCAACCTGAGGACTCCATCCAGAATCGATTCTTTTTCTGTTTGTTTTTCAAGACAGGGTTCCTCTGTGTAACAATCCTGGCTGTCCTGGAATTCACTCTGTAGATCAGGCTGACCTCGAACTCACAGAGATCCACCTGCCTCTGCCTCCTGAGTGCTGGGACTAACGGTGTGTACCACCACCACCTGGCTCCAAATCACGTGTTTATAGTTAAGTGCACACTGTCACCCAAGAAGAAGTACAGCTATCCACTTGAACAGTGCTTAATTTCAGGGACCATGAACAGGACACCCTGGAATGATGTCATTTTAGCCCCATCTCCTCCGTACTTTAGGCCAAGATCCATTCACCACCCTCTCCCCAGTATTGAAGGCACCAGTGTAGCCACACTAAGACTTGGTTCAAGATGGAGAAATAAGGGAGCGGTGGATCAGTACTGCTGGCTGAGGCTGTCCCAAGGTTCTAGGAGGAGGAAGTGGATAAATGCTGTACTCAACACGATGGCAGCCTCGGGTCTTATCAGAGAAGAACAGTTCCCTGACTCCTTTCCTCCACCGCTGGCCACGTCACGGTGCTCAAAAATGGGGGAGGAAAGAGCTTTCAACTATGGGCCATGGTGAAGTAGATCCAGCCAGTTTACACTTTCTCAGACAGAAAGGGACAGTGGTTGGATGAGCATAGTGACAGTGGAGATGAAAAGGTTTTTTTGGTTTTTTGGTTTTATGAGACAGGGTTTCTCTGTATTGTTTTGGAGGCTGTTGGTCCAGCCTAGCCTCGAACTCACAGAGATCCACCTGCCTCTGCCTCCCAAGTACTGGGATTAAAGGTATGCGCCACCACCGCCCAGATGAAAAGGGTTTTTAAAGCCCGGTGGTGGCGGCAGTGGCACAAAGCTTTAATCCCAGTACTCCAGAGGCAGAAGCAGGTAGATCTCTGAGTTCAAGGTCAGCCTGGTCCACAGAGTGAGTTCCAGGGCAGCCAGGGCTACAAAAAGAACCCCTGTCTCCAAAAAAAAAAAAAAGAAAGAAAGAAAGAAAGAAATGAGAGAGAGAGAGAGAAACGAAAGAGAAAGGAAAGAAAGAAGGAAAGGAAGGAAGGAAGGAGATTTCAAGGAATGCAATCAAGAAGCACAAACAGCAGGTCTTGGCAGCTGTCCTGGAAAAAAGGAATGAGCCATGCTTTCATCAATAAGCCTGGATCCCCAGGGTGTGGCCTCCCACTTCCTGGTCGTCCTACAGACCATGTGATCTAGGGGCTGTTGCCCTCTGCCATGCCTGCTGCTCAGCAGTTACTTTGAGTTCCAGTTTGATAAACTGAAACTTCCTGTGGTGGGAACTTGAGGGAAGAGGAAAGAGCTGGCCCATTTCTGTCTAGGAGCTCTGGGAAGAGGAGGAGGATGGTTAAAGCCCCCTGTCCTTGGCATGCCCTGTGGATCCTGCAGTGGACACCACTGTTCTTGGGACCTAGTGCTGTTCCTCCAGCCTGGGCCTTGAACCTGGACCCTGTGAAGTTCACCATCTATGCTGGTCCCAATGGCAGCTACTTTGGATTTTCAGTGGACTTTCACAAGGACAACCACGGGAGGTGAGCACCAGGGTTGAGAGAGGACTGCTTCCTATCATTGCCTCTGTGGCCTCTCTTTTCTAGTTGAGCAAGGTGGAGTCTGTCTGTTTGGGTGGAACTCCTGTCAGGAATGATGGGGACAGGTTCGAGTGAGGGTGCCGGGGAGGGATACCAGTGGGAAGATGATCACTGAACAAAGAAAGGTAAAAGTTGGTGTCATCTGTGTCCCTCACTTTGTCACTTAATTCTCAGCCACTCATCCAAAAACGGTTGGCAAAGATACAAGTGCTCACCCACTGCTGTTTTTTCCATTTTGAACCTCATCTCCTTCCAAATTACAGATACTTGAAAAGAAGTAATAGATTACTAACTGTCAGCACTGATAGGTTTTGAGATGAAACTGCTAAGATTCCTGGGTCATCTTCATAGCTCTGTTTATCCTGGGTGACCTACTGTAACGGACACTGGAATGCTCAGGTTTGGGGAACAGTAATGACTGTTGTCAAGGACAAGTATAAGGAATCATTTCCTCTGCCCAAAAGAGCCATTTCATCAAAAACCAGGTCCCCTTCCCAAGATGGCTGGCATCCAGAGACTGTCCGTGAAGGGGGAGGGGTCTGTAGCTGAGTACGGTGGCACATACTTGTAAAACCAGCCGTCAGGAGGCTGAGACAGGATGGTTACCATAAGTTAAATAGCCAGGGCCACTTAACAAGACTGTCAAATAAATAAGAACTCCTCTGCTAGGTGTGGTGGCACACGCCTTTATTCCCCCTTAATGGGAACCAGAGGCAGGCAGATCCCTATGAGTTTGAGGTCAACCTGGTCTACATAGTGAGTTCCAGGACAGCCCAAGCTACATAGAGAAACCCTCTCTCCAAAAACAAAACCAGAGTCCAGTTGAAGAGAAGGAGGAGCGACAATATGAGCAAAGGGGTCAAGACCAAAATGGGGAAATCCATGGAAACAAATGACCAGAGCTAGCGGGAGCTCGCCGACTCCAGACTGACAGCTGCAGAACCTACATAGAACGGGCTAGGCCCCCCGGATGCAGGACAGTGGGTCCAGGATCCATCCCTAGCGCATGAACTGGCTCTTCGGAGCCCATTTCCTTCGGAGAGATACCTTGCTCAACCTAGACACAGTGGGGGGGAGGCAGTTGGTCAGCTTCATCGTGGTGATGGGACAGACTTCATTGACTCCCCTGGAGGTCATACCCTCTCTGAGGAGCAGATGGGGTGGGGTGAGGGTAAGGTGGGGGGAGCAGGATGAGGGGAGGGAGGGAGAGCTGGGATTGATATGAAAAAGTCACCATAATTAACCAACAATCTCCTGTCTTCAGAGCTCCTGAGTGTTAACACACAGAGCCTGAAGCTCAGTTCAACTCTCTTCCTCTGTCTGCTGCCCTTTCCCCAAGCGCTGGTCCTGTGGGCACACTTTAATGAGCATCCTGTGTGTTTATTAACAAAAGCATGTGGCTGAGGGCACACTAAGCACCTCTCATACATTTATTGCTACTCTCCCAACAGCACAGTTGCTTGATATCACCCCCACTTTACATATGGCAGAACTGATTTAAACTTCGGTCTGCTAGGATCCTCAACTCTGTCAGCATCACACATCCCCACTTCGGCTCGCCACATCCTTCACCATTCGAAACAGTTCTCACTAAGCAACCTGTTAGGCTTCACAAGGCACAAGGTTTATCTGGTTCTTATTGGGAGGAAGCGAGGGGACATCAGTGTATGAAACATAGCAAGGCGTTTTCAGTAAGGACGATTAAACCCCTCCTGTGCAAACCAAACCAACCGGTTTAGGAAGGCGAACTTCCTAAGAGTCCAGTGCCACTGCCCCTAAAACGAAGAGGTTGGCCTTAACGGGGCATCTGTGAGGAAAGATTGTCCAATGTCTCCTGCGCCACTGCTGGCACCCCAGGCACTGCTGGGGTGGCAGGCACCGGGCAGGACAGAAGGACCCTGAGCCGTGCTCACTCAGCTTTCCTACGCAGTGTGTCCATCGTGGTGGGCGCCCCCAGGGCTCTAAGCGCAAGTCAGGAGGAGACTGGCGGCGTGTTCCTGTGCCCCTGGAAGGCCAATGGCGGCAAATGCACCTCGTTGACTTTCGACCTAAGTGAGACTCCGGCATGGAGGGGGGAGGAGGGCCAGGAGGAAGTGGATGGCGGGGCTCCAAAGCGCCTCCCTTTCTTGTGCCCTCCAGGGGACGAGACTCGTCACGTAGGCTTCCAGACTTTCCAAACCTTCAAGACCGGCCAAGGCCTTGGGGCATCGGTCGTCACCTGGAATGACGTCATTGTGGTGGGCACTGTGGAAGGTCACAGGGAGCAAGTCCAGGGCAGTGACACGGTGGGGGAAGCCAGAATATCGTGCCCTCCCCATTCTCCTGTGACTCTGCTCTAGGCCTGCGCCCCCTGGCAGCACTGGAATGTCCTAGAAAAGAACGATGAGGCAGAGAAGACTGCGGTAGGTGGCTGCTTCGTGGCTCAGCTCCAAAGCGGCGGTCGCGCGGAATACTCACCTTGTCGCACCAACCTCATGAGCTCGGTTTACTCAAACTTTCGTAAGCGCCGTTCCGCCTTAGGCTCCGCCCTCTGGTAGCTGCAAACCCCACCCAGCTACCAACCTCGCGCCCTGAGATCCCGGCCTCCTGGCTACGCCACGCCCCCGGGGGAGTCCCGCCTCCGTGCCCTCCCCGCCCCGTACAGTTTTGCAAGCCCATGCGGGACTCCTAGCTAAAGAGGAGCATCCGGAGCCAGCCCTTGGCTGACCCCCATTTGCCTCTTGTAGACGGAGACAAGCGACACTGTGAGGCCGGCTTCAGCTCTGCGGTGACCCAGGCAAGTCTGCTTGGAGCTTGAGCCAGGGATTCGCGAGTTTGAGGCCAGCCTGGTCTGCATAGCAAGTTTGAGACCAGCCCGGGGTACATAGCAAGTTTGAGATCAACCTGAGCTGTAAAGTAAAACTCGTCTTAAAAGGAGATGGGGTGGCCGGGCGGTGGTGGCGCACGCCTTTAATCCCAGCACTCGCGAGGCAGAGGCAGGTGGATCTCTGTAAGGTCGAGACCAAGCCTGGTCTACCTAGCAGTTCCAGGACAGGCTCCGAAAAAAAAAAAAAAAAAAGGAGATGGGGTGGCCCGGAGAATGGGAATGATGCGCTTGCCTTTAGTCCCAGCACATAAGGGCAGAAGCAGGTGGATCTCTTGAGTTTGAGGTCAGCCTGGTTTACAGAGTGAATTCCAGGATAGCCAGGGCTACACAGAGAAACCCTGTGTCTAAAAACAAACAAAAGAATATGCAGGCAAAGTGGTTTAGGGTTGTTCCCAGGACAGAGGACCCTCTCACGACCAGAACTTCCCTTTCAGGCTGGGGAACTAGTGCTTGGGGCCCCTGGCGGCTACTTTTTTTTAGGTACGTGTGCCCAGTATTCCAACTCACTCCCATCGCCGTGGTTTGGGGGAGACCGCGGGCGTTTGATGCCCCACACCTTCTGTCCCTGTGCCCTTTCTAGGTCTCCTGGCTCGGGTTCCAATTTCGAGTATCATCTCTAGTTACCGCCCGGGTACCCTTTTGTGGCATGTTCCCAACCAACGCCTCACCTTCGACTCCAGTAACCCTTTGTACTTCGACAGCTACCAGGGTAACCTTGGCATCTCCTTTCCAGGCTTCCCACACCCTTTCCCAGGCCCCGTTCATGCATTTATGCCAATCTTAGCTAGTCAAGCACAGAGGCACCCCGACCCCCGTCTGCCTCTCCAACCACACTTGTCTAACTCCTATCCAAACTGGCTCACCCTTCTCCCCCCGGACTCAAGTGAGACCTTGGGCATCCTCTGTCTTCTCACCTGCATAATGCAGTTTGTGCTGATAACCTCGCTTCTCCTGACCCTCATTTCCTGACCGAGGTCTTCCTCGTTGCCTTAAACGCTAATCTATGCCGTGTTTTCAGGGTACTCGGTGGCCGTAGGCGAGTTCGATGGGGATCTGAGCACTACAGGCAAGGAATGCCGTTGGTGGCCGGTGGGGAGCCCTGGGGCAGGAGAATTCCCTGGGCCCCTATGTGAGGATGGAGTAAGTGGGCACTGAGGATCTGATTTGCTGAGCCTCTTTTCACAGAGTATGTATTCGGCGCCCCCAGTTGGAGCTGGACCTTGGGGACCGTAAGTGTCCACTCCCCCACCAAACCCTTGACCCTAATCTTCTTGTTTACCCCCCCCACATTCGCCAGTGCCCTGCCCCTTCTCAGTGAGAGCGGTAAGCCTCAAAGGGAGCATGAATGATGCGCTTGGGTGTGTTCCTCCGTGCAGGTGGAAATTTTGGACTCCTACTACCAGAGGCTGCACCAGCTGCATGGAGAGCAGGTGAGGACGGTGTCCCATGGCAGTGACCAACATCAGGGTATTAAGACACACCCTCAAGATGGTTCTTGGGATATGAGGGTGATGTCTAGCAGAGGATGCAGAGTGTAGGAGCACAGACTAAAATGCTCTTCATCTTGCAGATGGCTTCGTATTTCGGACACTCAGTGGCAGTCACTGATGTCAATGGGGATGGGTGAGAAGAGGGAATGCCCTACCTACCCTGCCCTACCCTTACCCAGTTGGGTCCTCAATTGCCAGCAGCAGGAGTTACCCTCCTCTTGTCCCAAGGGTGGCCCAGAACTGCCCTCGTTCCTGATATCTTCCTAGCGCAGCCGTACCTAACCTTGCCCATCTGGTTCACAGGAGGGACGACCTACTGGTGGGGGCCCCGTTGTATATGGAGCACAGGGCAGACAGAAAGCTGGCCGAGGTGGGCCGTGTGTACTTGTTTCTGCAACCTCAGGGCCCCCATATCCTGGGCGTGCCCACTCTCCTGCTGACCGGCACTCAGCTCTATGGGAGATTTGGATCTGCCATTGCACCCTTGGGTGACCTCAACCGGGATGGCTATAATGGTGAGTGGAAGAGCTGCTGTGTTTGGCCTTAAGAGGGCGCATAGCCCTAACAAAAAGATGGGCTTAGGGCAGATGTGGTGGTGTACACCTGCAGTCCCAGTGTGAGGGATGCTGAGACCTTGGGCAGCAGGAGCCCGGGAAGGCTTGACTGCTGACTGCAAAGTGGGTACCACAGTTCAAGGAATCCAATTAGGACAGTTCGTCTCAATCCCAGCATGATGATCCCTGCGTGCAGATTTGGAGACTGGAGTTAGAAATTCGATGCCTTTACAGATACTTAGGGCTTGGACTACTAAGGCAGCTTGGAAATGAATATGGAATCCAGAAGAGAAGGGAGTTGAGTGGGAATAGGGAGCCAGGAGGTCTGTAGTTCAGTTCTGGCTTAGATGGGTTTGAAGGGCTTGGGAGTATTAGGTGAGAACTGAGAACTGTGGCGATTGACTTTCCACATTTCCACCGGAGAGGCTGAGGGTGAGATAGAGAACTGGGAAGAGAGCATGGGATTCAGAGTCTGTGAGATAAGAGAGGCCCAGTGGAGAACGCTGGGAAGCAAGAGCACTTAGGGATCATCCAGAGAAGGTAACTGTGGGGAGCAGTGCTCACACAGGCGGGAGAGAAACCATGAGATTGGTGGCCCAGTACTCTGAGAGAGAGGACCTGGAGCAGGAGGAAGGAATGGGCCCCGTGGCCCCCTCACTCCTGAAAGGTACAGTTAGGTGGAACTGGGAAAGCATCGTGGCCTTTAGCAAGGATGAACTCGTTGGTGGCAGTGACGAGAACCAACTCGGGTCAGTACGGTGGTGCATACCAGTGACCCTGGCAGCTAGGAAGTGGAGGCAGGAGGGACAGAGGCTGGAGCTGGGATGCACAAAATCCTCTGTCAAAAAACTTACCAACCAGCCAGGCAGTGGTGGCGCACGCCTTTAACCCCAGCACTTGGGTGGCAGAGACAGGTGCATTTCTGTGAGTTCAAGACCAGCCTGGTCTAAAGACTGAGTTCCAGGACAGGCTCCAAAAGTACAGAGAACCCCTGCCTCAAAAACAAAACAAAACAAACAACCAACAAAGGGCACCATAGGGACCACTGGCCAGGGACAGGGTATGAAGAGAGGTGAAGACCTCAGCAGGCAAGACAGGCAGCTCTCTCACCAACCTGACTGTGAAAGGACAAGGAGAGCCATCATGGAACGAGGATGGGAAGATCATGTTAATCTGGAAGAATGGGGAGTATAATGAATACAAAGGGAAAATGGTCATGTGGGGAACGGGAGGGGTCAGGCAGATAAGGGTCCTTGTGATGCCTGGTGGAGGGGGGATGCAGACACTCCATCCAGAGGCAGATGCCGGCTCAAAGGTCACATAGAGTAAGTGGGAAGACAGTGTGCAATAGGGTCCCTTACGGAAGGAAACGGAGCTGACAGCTTGGAAGACTGGAGAAAGTTAGAAATAAGCGCTGTAAGGAATCCACAAGATGGTTGGGAGGCCCCAAAGGTCCTGAGGAAGACTGGCCACAGAGCCCATCTGCTGCAAATCCCCTGAAACCCCGAGCTGAATTAACTCCAGACAGAGTCTGACCAGGCTGACCGGAAACAGGCCGTGGAGCAAGAGTCAGTCAGTGAATCCATGAAGACCAAGACCAGGATAGATACGACACCAGCTCGAGGACTCCATTGTGGTCAGAGGTCTCTGTTTTGTTTTTGTTTTCTGAGACAGGGTCTCACTGTGTAGCCTCTGTGTCCTGAAGGCTAGGATTAAAGGCTTTAGTTTGAATTATGATTATGGTGATCAAGAAAATTGCAAAGACATACTGTAAACAAAATCAGAAGATAAAGGGAAGATGGTTAAAACACACAGACATGTGACTAAACTAGTCATATAATGAAAAGAACTCATAAATAATGGGCCTGCTAACAGATATACTCTCAAGTAATTGGTGTTGACAAACCTATGATGTGGCTGTGGGTTTGTTAACAGAGTTAACATCTGGGAAATAGGTTTCAGTTAGTTTTTATTTGTTTTTCAGTTTGGTTTTGTGTTTTGAGACAGAGTCTCACTATGTAGCCCTAGCTGGCCTGGAACTCACAGAGATCTGCCTACCTCTGTCTCATGAATATTGATATTAAAGGTGTGCACCAGCACATCAGGCCTACTTTTTTTTCTTCCATTACTGGGAATTGAATCTAGGACCTCACGCATACAAGAAGTGTGCTGCCCTGGGCTGGGCTCAGTTATTTAATCTTCTAAAATGGAAATTAAGGGAAAGGTTGTAGCTGAACTCGTCTAACATGCCCAAAGCCTCAAGGCAGCGTAAGCCAAGTGTGGTGGTGCCCACAGTACCAGTCTTCCTAGCACAAGGGAGGTGGAGGCAGGAGCACTAGAAGTTCAAAGTCAGCCTCAGTTGCATAAATAAGTAGAGGCCAGTTTGTGACATATACCACAACCCTGTCTCACGGGCATGGTTTCCAACATCTTTAATTCCAACACAGGGAGGCAGAGGCAGTCAGAACTCTGAGTCTGAGACAAGCATAGTCTTCACAACAAGTTCCAGAACAGTCAGGGTTACAAAAGAGAAACCCTATCTCAGAAAAACCAAACCAACCAACCAGCAAACAAAAATCCCTGTCTCAAATTAACAATAATAGTGAATAGGATAACAACATCCAATTGTTGGGAGTAAATGGAATCTTGTTGGTGTGTTTCCCTTAATGGACAGGGAGGACTGTTGGAGCTTTTATACCAATTGTTAATACTTGACTGATCTCTCTGCCGGGCGTTGGTGGCGCACGCCTTTAATCCCAGCACTCGGGAGGCAGAAGCAGGCAGATCTCAGTGAGTTCCAGACCATCCTGGTCTACAAGAGCTAGTTCCAGAACAGCCTCCAAAGCCACAGAGAAACCCTGTCTCGAAAAAGCAAAAACCAAAACCAAACAAACAAAAACCCAAAAAGCAAAACTTGACTGATCTCTCTCCTGCTTCTTTGATACAGACTTTGTACCCTTTTCCTGTTCCCCCAGGGCCTCCCTAAAGAAGCCTCGGGGGAGATTGGCAGCATCGCCTGGGGAGACTCAATCACAAATAGCACACTCTTTCTCTCTCTCCAGATGTTGCTGTGGCTGCCCCCTATGGGGGCCCCAGTGGTCAGGGCCAAGTGCTGGTGTTCCTGGGTCGGAGTGAGGGGCTGACTCCGCGCCCCTCCCAGGTCCTGGACAGCCCTTTCCCCAGAGGCTCTGGCTTTGGCTTCTCCCTTCGTGGTGTTGTAGACATCGATGACAATGGATACCCAGGTGCCTGTGGATTGCATCCAGCCAGTCATGACAGGCCTTCGAGCACTTTCTGGAAATGTGGAGAGAACAGCTGGGGAGTCCATGTCTGACCCAGTGACAGCTGTGGGCTCTAACTTGTCTGTGTGGCTGGGATACTGGGGTTTGGGGGCAGAACCTCTAGGGGGCTGTTGGTGTGGAGAACTTTTTGGAAGATAAAGACTTGCTCTATGCCTTCTCTAATGGCCACTTTTGACCCTTCTCTCTATGCCTACAGACCTGATTGTGGGGGCGTACGGGGTTAGCAAAGTGGCCGTGTACAGGTGAGCACTGGCTGGGATAAGGGCCACATGGGTCAGGAGGGACACAGTGGTGAGCCTCTTCTGATCCCATCAGAGCTCAGCCTGTGGTGATGGCCACTGTCCAGCTGCTGGTTCAAGACTCCCTGAATCCCACCCTGAAGAACTGTGTCCTGAAACAGACCAGGACACCAGTCAGCTGGTGAGGAGGTGGGGGGTCACAGACTCGGCAGGGTTTGGGACCTTAGAGAGGCCCCAACCCCCAAACCTGCTCTCATCTTTGCAGCTTCAACATCCAGATGTGTGTGGAAGCCACAGGGCACAACATTCCTCAGAAGCTGCGTGAGTGGCCTGGAGGGAGGGGTTGGAGGAAGGGAGGTCTGGCTGTCCCCACTAGAGGGAGACCTGAACCTTTCCTGCTTGGTCGGCTGGCCTGCAGCTCTAAGGGCAGAGCTGCAGCTGGACCTGCAGAAGCCCCGTCAGGGCCGCCGCGTGCTCCTGCTGGAATCTCAACAGTCGAGCCTCACCCTGAGCCTGGACCTGGGTGGAGAAAACAGAACTACCTGCTACACCATCTTGGCCTTCCTTCGAGTATGCTCGGGCCAGAACGGGCGGAGCTGGGTGTGCAGGCAGAGCTTGGGCTCCAGCAGAGGGTGCGGGCACAGCCGCAGGACAGCCAGACTCTTGCCATCTGCTAGGATGAGGCCGACTTCCGGGACAAGCTGAGCCCTATTGTGCTAAGCCTCAACGTGTCGCTGCCCCCAGAAGAGACTGGAGCAGCCCCTGCTGTGGTGTTGCATGGAGAAACCCATGTCCAGAAGCAGGTAGGGGACAGTGGGACAAGCGACAAGGGTGCAAGATCCCTGGTATGGAGACTAAGGCCAGGGGTTAGTTGTAACCATGAACCCCAAACCTCGAAGTCACCCCAAATCCTGATGAAACCCTCCATATCCCAGTGTCCCCCAAACATTGTTGCAGACTCAGAAATCCTGCTGTCACCAGAACTTTGGCGTCATCCGAACCTTTGCACACCCTCCACCCCTAACCCCTGGAGGCCCTGTCGTTCTCTTAGCTCTGAGGTGACCCCTAAATGTCACAAGCCCCCAGCTTACCCACACATCCTATCGTGTCCCCTAGACCCGGATCATCCTGGACTGTGGGGAAGATGACGTGTGTGTGCCACAGCTCCAGCTCGCGGCCACTGTGTGAGAGAGCTCCCCGTTCCCCCCGCCCTGTCCCTCCGTGCCCCAGGAGACCCACTCCTCACCTGAGGCCCCTCTCCTCCTCCTGGCCTCCAGTCCTAAACCAGTGACCCCTGCACACACAGGGGCGACTCCCCACTTCTGATCGGTGCTGACAACATGCTGGAGCTGAAGATCGAAGCAGCCAATGAGGGTGAGGGGGCTTACGAGGCGGAGCTGGCTGTGCACTTGCCTCCGGGTGCCCACTACATGCAGGCTGTCAGCAACGTTGAGGTGAGGCTCCGCCCCGGGGCGTGGCCAGCACTCCGGCCTCACACACCCAAAGCTTCGCTGCTCTTATGCTTTACTATAAAGATGTACAAAGCTTTCAGTGTTGAGATGCAACGCATCTAGGTGGGGTATACACAGAAGGCGTGCTGGCGAATGGTGCACATTTGAAGAACCCTGTTACAGAACCACCAAAAGGCTCAGGAGGCCAGTGTTAATTGGAACCCCTTTAACATCTACTGGGGAGCTGGGGTGATGATGGCTTTTGGTAAAGTAGAGAGCCTGGGTTTTAATTCCCCTGGGGAAAGCCAGGCATGGCAGTGTGAGCCCAGAACCCTACTGCTGGTGATTTGACGGGCATAACCCTACGCTCATTGGCCAGGCAGGCTAGCCACATCCATGAGACCCTGCCTCAATAAATAAATAAACATAACTATTGGGGGAAAATACCAATATCAACCTCTGGTTTCCACATTCACACACAGCCACACACAATTTGCTAGCTTAGTCTTTTCCCCTAATGTTGGCAGGCACTTACAGAGAAATTTTTAAAGTTAAGTTAAATTCAATGTTTGTGTGTGCATGTGTGCACAAGTGTACAAGAGTATACATGACGGCCAGTCAGTGATGGCGCACGCCTTTAATCCCAGCACTCCGGAGGCAGAGGCAGGCGGATCTCAGTGAGTTCAAGGCCAGCCTGGTGTACAAAGTGAGTTTTAGGACAGCCAGGACTATTACACAGAGAAACCCTGTCTGGGGAGGGGGAAAGTATATATGATATGTGTGCACATGCCAGTGGAAACCAGAGGTCAGACTTTTGTGTCATTCTTCAAGTGTCATTCGCCTTGTTTCTCCCAGTCTGAACCTGAAGTTCACCAATTCAGCCAGATTGGCTGGCCATGGGCCCCAGGGAGCCGCCTCTCTCCACCTGCTTTTTCTGTGGGTCCTGGGGGGTCAGACTTGAGACCCATGCTTACACAGCAGGTACTTCACTAGCTGAGCCAGTTCCCCAGAGCAATGTTTTATCTTCCGAGGACAAGTCTCACTCTGAAGTCAAGACTGGCCTGGAGCTCACTACCTAGACCAGGACAGCCTTGGACTCTTAATATTCTGCTTTAGCCTCCCAAGTATGGGAATTACAGGCATGAGCCACCACACACAGTTAAATAACATGTGTATTATATATACACACATACACTTATACGTATATCATATATACACATTACATTCAGTGTCTGTGTGTGTGTGTGTGTGTGCGCGCGCGTGCACATGCTCAAACACTTTCACCACATTGAGCATGTGGAGGGTCAGAGGATAACCCATGGGAGTCAGCTGTCTTCTATCATGTGGGTGCCAGGAATTGAACGGAGGTTGTCAGGTTTGGTGGCAAGTCCCCTTAACCAACTAGCCATCTTCTGTTGTTTTTTTTTTTGTTTGTTTGTTTGTTTTGTTTTGTTTCCAAGACAGTGTTTCTCTGAATTGCTTTGGAGGCTGTCCTGGAACTTGCTCTGTAGACCAGGCTGGCCTCAAACTCACAGAGATCCACCTACCTCTGCCTCCCAAGTGCTGGGATTAAAGGCAAGAGCCACCGATGCCAGGCCCCAATTGAGCCATCTTGACAGCCCTGAATAGATTTTTGTTTGGTTTGATTTGTTTTAAGACAGGCTTTTCTGTGTAGCTTTGGAGCCTGTCCTGGTACTTGTTCTGTAGACCAGGCTGTATTTGAACTCAAGAGATCCACGTGCCCCTGCCTCCCGAGTGCTGAGATTAAAGGCACCACGCCTGGCTTTATTCTGTTGGTGTAATTTTTAGCAGACATGTCAGGTGCCCCACCGGGAATGCCTGTTCTTTTCCATCTGTCTGTGACTCTCTCCCCAGGGCTTTGAGAGGCTCATCTGTACCCAGAAGAAGGAGAATGAGACCAGGGTGACACTGTGTGAGCTGGGCAACCCCATGAAGCAGGGCACCCGGGTAAGACCTCCACAATGTGGCCTGGTGACAGCAGGTGTCTGGGAGGTCTCGGGTGGGAGTCACGAGGTCTTCCAATTCTGGCTACATCCTAGCGTTGCTAGGTTCCTGGAGCAGGAGGACCGGGCTCAGGGTGGACAGTGGGCTAGTGACTTCAGTCCCACTCCCCTCCCAGATCGGAATCAGAATGTTGGTGAGTGTGGAGAACCTAGAAGAAGTGGGACAGTATGTGTCCTTCCAGCTTCAGATCAGGAGGTAGGGGCCCTTCTGCCACCCGAGCCCCGTGCGGAAACCCCTCCACACAGAAAGGCTGGTGTCCCTCACTGTCTTCTCACCTTCTCCCCCCAGCAAGAACAGCCAGAATCCCAACAGTGAGGCTCTGCTGTTGCCTGTGGCAGTCCAGGCTGAGGCCACAGTAGAGCTTCGAGGGTGAGAGACCAGGCATGGGAAGGGGGAATGGCAGCGGGGGCGGAGGTGGGTGTAGCTGATGGTGCATGATTAGCACGCGGTAGACCCTGGCTCCCTCCCATCCGCAGTATCCCATAAAACAAAGGGTCCTCCCAGACCACCCACTCTGGGGGCTTGGGCACTTGCAGGAATTCCTTCCCTGCGTCCGTGGTGGTGGCAGCAGAAGAAGGTGACAGGGAGCAGGATGGCTTAGACAGCTGGGTCCCCAGGGTGGAACACACCTATGAGGTAGGGAGGAGCCTCTGGGCAAAGCTGGGGTGAGCGAGGTCCTGGGGACAGCAGGTTGGCAGCTGAGCCACCAGCACCCCAGTTTCTACCCCCTCCAACCCCCAGCTCCACAACAATGGCCCTGGCGCTGTGAGCGGCCTCCGACTCGTCATCCACTTTCCCAGCCAGTCCCAGCCCTCGGACCTGCTCCACATCCTGGACGTGAAGCCCCAGGGAGGTCTCCTCTGCACCTCACAGCCAACCCCAGAGCCTCTCGAGGTGAGGCTCAGGGCGAGGGAAGGAGCTGTGAGGGGACAGATGCCAGACCAACAGCCAGAAGGGTTAGGGTTCAGAACGACCCTGGAAGCGAATTCATTGTGCCCTTGTCCCCCAGCTGGACTGGAGGCTGCCCACGCCCAGCCCTTCCTTCTATCACCAGCGCGAGCGCAGACAGGCGTTCCTGCAGGAACCCAAGCAGCCAGGGCATCGAGACTTGGTTCTGGTGGTGAGAAGGCTCAGCGGGCTCCAGCGGGGGCCTCGGGAAGAGGAGATGGGAAGCAGGGGCAGTGGTGCAGGTGTGATGCTGGACTGACACTTGGCAGAATAGGTCACGTGGGTGTTTGCTTTTTAAGCTTTCCTCTAAAGAAATATCAAAGCAAGCCGGGACTGGTGGCGTACGCCTTTAATCCCAGCAGAGGCAGGCGGATCTCTGAGTTCGAGGCCAGCTGGGTCTACAGAGGGAGTTCCAGGACACCCAGGGCTGTTACACAGGGAAACCCTGCCAAAAAAAAAAAGAAAAAGAAAAAAGAAAAAAAGAAAGAAAAGAAAAAAGCCAAAGCAATATCACAAAAAACACCGAGTACTTCAGGCTATGGGTGACCCTGCCTTCGGGCCTCATCCGTCCCAGTATCCCTGGGGATGTGGAGCAAACAGAATGTAGAGAAACCATCTGAAGCTCGGCCAGAGACCGGCACCTCCCGACCCTCCTGGCTCTCCGTGTTGGGTCCTTGATTGATGGGGGATGATTGGCAGGAGGGCCTGGGCACTTACAACCGGTCCCCCTCAGAGCTGCAACGACTCAGCGCCCTGTACGGTGGTGGAGTGTGAGCTGCGGGAGATGGCACGCGGGCAGCGAGCCATGGTCACGGTGCAGGCCACGCTAGGGCTGTCCAGCCTCCGCCAGGTGGGGGGGGGCGCGGGTGGGCGGGGCCTGTGGGCGGGGCCTGTGGGGAGCGGGGAGGAGTTCGCTCCCGGCTTCAGCAGGTTCACACCCGCTTTTACCGCGGGGCGGGGCGGGGCGGGACTCAGAAGCTGGGAGTCCCGGGCTTGGATTGCGGCCGCCTCCTGGGCTCGAGTGGCTGCGGTCAGCGGCTGTCACCCGCGCCCCCTGCAGAGACCGCAGGAGCAGTTCGTGCTGCAGTCGCACGCCTGGTTCAACGTCTCCTCCCTGCCGTACTCGGTGCCGGTGCTCAGCTTGCCTAGCGGACAAACTCAGGTGAGCGGCCCCGGTTCTCCTGCTGTCGGCGCCCGGCCGGCTTGGGGCGGGGCCGCTCCAGAGCTGGGGGCGGGGCCTCGCTGCATGGAAGGACGCAGTGTGTCTGAGGTCGGAGGGCGGGCTCTCAGTGGGACTGAGGTCTGGCTACCGGAGAGGGCTTGGCTGGGCATCCTCCTCTCTGGTCTCAGGCCCCCTGAAGTGGCTTCCGGCTTGTCCTCAGGTGCAGACACAGCTGCTTCGGGCCTTGGAGGACAGGGCCGTTCCTCTCTGGTGGGTGCTGGTGGGCGTGCTGGGCGGTCTGCTGCTGCTCACCTTGCTGGTTTTGGCCATGTGGAAGGTGAGACTGGGAGGGGCACAGAGTTCCCAGGGGGTCACAAGCCAGGGATACAGAACCTGTCTCGTCTACCCAGCCGCTATTAGAATGCGCTTGTTCTGAGGGCTTGTGCCGGCCGGTCCTTCCCATCCCCACTGGCAGGACGCCTGAAACCCTCGGGTCTTCAGACCCCTTCCCCCACTGTTAGGAAGTCAGAGGAAACAGACCTGCCTCTGGAAGAGAACTTCCTGACATGTGAGCAGGGCTCACCTCCTGCCGTGTCTGTTGCAATGATAAAGCACCATGACTAAAAGAAACTTGGGGAGGAAAGGGTTTGTTTCACCGTACACTTTACCGTCAGCGAGAGAGGCAGAGGCAGGAACTGGAGCCGGGACCTTGAAGGACAGCTGCGTACAGGCTTGCTTCCTTGCCTGCCTTTCTTGGCCCAGCTGCCCAGGGATGGCACCGCTCACAGCTGGCTGTCGTC